GTTTTCACTCGTTCGTCATATTCACGAATATTGCACATTTGGTTTGTACAGGAACCTCTTATCACGTTGGATCCCAAGTCTTATTTCCCTTGTTGTCCCAGGGTCCCAACACTAATTAATTTTGGTACAAGAGACTTTGTTTTAACATCATTTCATATATGAGGCAAGGATATCATAAGTAGTATTTATTACTCACTACCCACCGGTGTATCGTTCGGTTCCTTTGTCCATTTTACAACACAGCGTTTCACAGGAATGCATGGTACAGCTCTGTGCATGTAAAAATAAAAAAATGACCCCCAAAAAACAGCAGGAGAAATTCCAAAAGGAAAAATAAATAAAAGAAAAAAATCAAAAATATTAATTATTTTGTGGAAGAAAATGTGGTTCTGATGTACCATGATCTCATAAGCAATCAATCATAACATCCCACCAATTATGTTAAAAGGGGGCACCGGGAGTTTTTATTTAATTGGTGGGGGGCGGTTAACCTACTCAGGGGAGCGGTGGGCATTTATCTTCTTTTTTTTCTTTTTTTTTTTTTTTCCGAATTTTCAAAAATTATTGAATATTGGCTACAAAAGGAAATTCTTGAAAGCTGTGGGAAGCTATCAAAGTTCGTTACTTTTCTAACTTCCTATATGGAGAATGTGGTTTCAACACAGTTACACAACTTTACGTTTTGTAATTTTCAGGCGGTTTCTTTCTTTAGCTTACTAGAAAAAGAAACGGCCTGCAAATTACAAAACGTAAATATCTACGATTACTTCTTAGCAGCATGGGACCTCGAGTAAGAGTCTTAGCCAGTAAACACCAAAGTCAACCATTGCATTGAAAATACTGAGATAAGCTATCAAATAATTTTTTTTAATTTTTAGCATTTTAATCATTGGCTCTTATGATAGAAATGAAAACAATATTAAAATTATTTTAGCACTAATATCTAAGTGTCATCTTGCTATGAAAGATGAATTCAGTATAATATTCAAAATTTAATTTGACAAGGGGCCGTTGACAAGTGTGTGTCGGGGGGGGGGGGGGAGGCGTTGATTAAAAAAAGTTTGGGAAACACTGCTGTAATGGTTGGTAGAGAATAAATTTTATATTACCATCGCAACACAGCATTACTATACGTGCGATATGGTAATACTTCGTTCATGTTTGAAAACCGACAAGTTTTAAGAGAAACCACTTTACATATTCAGAGAACATGAATGCAACAGTTCAATAGATCGTTCAGGCAACGAAACAGTTGCACATTAGTAGATATGCAAAGAGATAAATAAAGTCTTATATGGGAACTAACATGGCCGCTTCTTGCATCAGTGATGTTACATCGCATCTTTTGAGACGAGATAAAATGGAAGGCTGGAATACACGTGCCGGCATTCTGACAAGTTGGTTCCAAATAGGCAACATAATTTGATGCCGCTAACCAGACTTCAAGGTGATACATTTCTTCCCCTCTGATATGTGCATAAATTATGACTGAGACAAGGGTAGACAACCAAGTTATATAATGCGTATAAACACCCTCTAAAAACCATTTTTATAGAAAAGCCCATAACCTGGTCAAATGAGTGCACCTGAAATTGATAAAATGATGAAATTGTATAAACACTGCACGAACCAAGTAAACAGTAAAAAGAGTTCATTTACAAGAAAGTTATTGGTAAATTCAAGTCAGATAACCATAACATAAGAAAACTCGTTTTGAGAGATGTAACTGAAACGTTTGAACCATCTCGTATGACAACCAGACCGCGCTACAGCCTGTTTTGATGCGTCCGGCACATGGGATGGGAAAATCATTGGAGCATCTGCATCAAGCTATGTAGCATTCAAAATATCAGGCTTCCACCTGTCTGAAAAGATATTTTGATATACATTTTTAATATGCATAGGGATATACCGTATATACTCGAGAATCATTCGACTTTTGAAGCTAATTTTAAGGGGGTCGCATCATACACGAGATATAAAATTATCGCATGTACTGTTAGCCCTGGCTACGCTGTTGACCAAACTATATATCCATTTACTGTAGTCAAATTAGATCTTCAAAGGTCGCGTGTATATACAGAATGTACTTGGAATGTCTTTTGAGGACCTTGAAGGGTCTTTTATATGGCGGCTGCAAGGTGTGTCACTTTATCAGAGTTGCGTACAAAACCATGTTACAATAGTAAAATATTTCGGTATGGAGGTGGATTTTGAACGCAGGTGGGTTGTATGCCAATTTCGCGATTTGGGATGTCAGAAAATCATGACTGAAATCTGGAAAAATTGTTGAAGAAGTCTGAGCGTGATGCCATACACAATCACGGCAGACATTGAATATTATACTTTCGTATGAAGTCCCAGAAGGACTAAAAGAAAGTGTTCCAGCCAATTGGAACACTTTCTCTGAGGACTGACTTCAAACTGCGGTGGAAGTTTCGCCATTCTTTGCGGATTCTCTTACTACCCAAAGGCTTCATTAACAGTCAAAATCAATTAGATTCGAATTGCTGAACTCTGTGATAACAACAGCTAGGACATGAAAATAAGATACCCATCCAGAAATAAAATGTTTTGCCGTAGTATATGCGAAAAGTTCACCATGGGTAATGTTTCCAAAGAACGGGAAAAACGGTTAATACAGTTTAGCAAATAGGTTTACCTTCAAAGAAGTAATGGTTTCGTAATGGCGGCGTTTCACTTGAGTGAACCGCACATCAGGTGAGGGAAAAGAACCGAGTATGCGAAAACTTTAGGTCTTTGAAAATGATCACAAGTTTTTGTCTAATATCCGACATTATGCGCTACCAAACAGATCTATCCGTGCTTTGCTTGATGGAGACGTTAGCTCTAGGCCTGATTTGCTTGATGGAGGCGTTAGCTCTAGGCCTGATTTGCTTGATGGAGGCGTTAGCACTAGGCGTGACTTATTTGATGGAGGCGTTAGCACTAGGCGTGACTTATTTGATGGGGGCTTTAACACTAGGCCTGATTTGCTTGATGGCGGCGTCAGCACTAGGCGTGACTTATTTGATGGAGGCGTTGGCTCTAGGCCTGATTTGCTTGATGGAGGCTCTAACTCTAGGAGTAACTTATTTTATGGATGCGTTAGCACTAGGCGTGACTTATTTGCTTGATGTAGTCGTTAGCTCTAGGCAAGACTTGCTTGATGTTGGCATTGGCACTAGCCCTGATTTGCTTGGTAGAGGTGTTAGAATTAAAATGTCACAAGTTAAGAAGGGCGAAATAAAAAAAAATGTACGCTGCAAAAACTTACATGGCCGATGATTGTATCGAATATTGTTTCCATCGTATAATTAGGAAGGTGAATTTTGGTCAGTTTGACTGGTATTCTGTACAAGAGTACAAAGGAAGGGCATTGGTGCTCCGAGACATAAATCACAGTATAGTGGCCAGTCTTTTAATAAAATGGATATCTGAGATAAACTGGATAAGATAATTCAATTGTTCTACCTTCCGCAATGAGAATTACTCCAAATTTTATTGAAATGCGCCAATCAAGGCTCTGATTACTCACGATGTGGCAGTTGCGTCGGCCCCTCACTGGTGAAAATATCGTACCGCCAAATAAGCTTCTAGAAGTTATTTTCCGAAATTACTGTATCTGGCCTCCGTAGCTGAGAATTTCCTAGAAAAGAAATTGACTTCACTTGTCGATATTTTGCTGCAAAACCGCACACACGCCATTAGAAGAAGCAACCGCCAAACACACTTCTTCTGACTCAATATGTGACAATTTCATTGCATCCAACAAAATAGATTTAATTTCACGAAAAGCTACAAGGTAGGGTCGCATAAAATTAATTTTTGACGTTTGGTAAAACGTCTGTCAAAGGTCTTGATACCTGGACACAGTTTGGGATAAATCTGTGATAGAAATTGATCATCTCCAAGAATTGGCGTAATTTTCTCATAGTGTTAGGTATAGGAAGATTACAAATTGCTGTTACCTTTGAAAAAATAGAAATACAATTGAATTGATACTATGTCCTAGAAAAGGGACATCAACTTTCCCAAACTCACATTTATTTAACAATTCTATATTTTTGGAAACACTAAAAAACAAGCTGCACCTGTTGCGCATGTTCTACCAATCTATAAAAAATGACATTGTCCACATAAGAACAAGCAAAGTGTAAATTGTACAACATATGGTCAATGGACAAGAGGAACGACCAAAAAATCAAACTAAATGGATTAGTAATAGCAATCTTGAGAATATCATGAAGTTCTACTGGGATCTGATGAGAGCTTCTGCTAAGGTCCAATATGTCGAAAATACATTTACCTTGAGTAATTACTATGATATCGAAGTACCGCTTATGGTGACTAGATGCAATGGAGAAGCCCAGTTGTTACCTGAATGGCATAAAACGTCAAGTTTCATCATTTACCTAAATTCAGCTTTTATCACTCATAACTTATCTGAAGGTAGATCCATGGGTAACAGTGGACTGAAGGACCACTTGCAATTATACAGTGTATAGGGGCATGTTTTCTTGTGGAATGATAGCTTAGGGATGCTTCCTTGTGGAATGACAGCTTAGTGATGCTAGAATATTAATCCAAATGCTTAAAAACAGGATTATCCTCGGTCTTAACCAAAGTGAGGAGTAATTGGAAGTTATAAGAAATATAACCTGGCAATTTAATGCAAGCCTTAGGATCCACCAGACAACGTCTGGGTAAATCAGAATATGATATTTATGAAAAAACAAGTCAATATGACGTTTTCTACGGTCGCAATTACAAAAAGGTGGATGAAAACTAAATGTAAACTTAAATTCAGGAATTTTTGTTCATAACTTTGAATGAGAAACTTGTTAACGGCCTGAAGTGTAAACTTAGAAAGTCATTTTACTGCCTACTAAGGTAGAAATTAAGTAAATTTTAATATCACTGTCTACTAGAAAAATATCGTCTTTTCTACGGTCACGTACAAATAAAAATGACACACTTCTCCTTTAACCTTTCCCTAGACCTTCACAAAAAACTGCAACGGCGGATCTTTACAAACGCCCCTTGTCACCATATTTTGTGTACATAGCCTACACGATTCATATCGCTCTCCTACGACCTCCGGGAAGAATGACTCGTACCACCAGAGCGACCGAATGAACGCCTGTTCAGTCTACTGGAAAACTCCACGACTCATCAACCTCATTTGAATTTTCAACATTTTGGACTAGATGTCTGGCATAGAATTACGGACACCTGAAACGGAAGGCGTTCGTGTTTACATTAAATCCGCCATGTTATTCGTGATCTCCGCCAATTTTACCATAGGTGTTTCCTTCTCGAAGTGAGGCTCAACTCGCGTGGAATTCTGCCGGGAGGTGTTGGAAAAATATGTGACCCACAATTCTGTCGTCGTTGTCACCCGCAAGATGATGTTAACAACTATATTTTCCGTTTCTTCCTTTAACTTAGTGAAGGATTGTCTACCGATGGTGGGATAATGATATCTCTTACCCTCATAGTTATTTTATGTGGTAATACAGAAACTGCTAACACAAACTTATGTAATACCCCTAATTCTGCACTGTGATTCGACTTGAGCAGAGGAGAAGGTTGTGTCTGTCGCGGAATAGAACGGATTTATCTCACTTATGGGCATTATTTTATCATTCTCAATACAATACTCGTGCTAAAATAATGAAATGTTTTGTTTGGCCTAAATGTAATGCATAATAACTGGTATTGTAGTCACGAGAAATTAAAAAAAAAATAATTCCATATAAAAAAGAAAACCGTCCTACTGGCAGGAAATTTAAAGACATTCTCTTTTTCACCCAACCTTTCGCAAGAACACGTGGAATTGAGCAGCTCGAGAAATGAAGATCACACACAAATCAACTTACCCAACGTTGTGCTCGGAATGAGCACTCAGAGTGAATACTCAGAGAGCCAAGTTCGAATTCCAGTCGAATTCGTTGGATTCACTTACGCGCAAATACCCTTTGGGAAAGGAATGAATCCATTTCTTCTCCCCACCAGCTATGGGTTGGATAGCAAGACAGACAGGGTTCTTTAGGCTTCATTGGCAACCAGTCGACGGTAGAAAGAAATGGCGGGAAAAAATGTGCCTCGTTAGTCATGTATCTTTCGATACATGATCGCCCAAACGTGTATCACGTATGGCACTTAACTGATTGATAGACTTATCACTTCCGCATAACTTATTCAAACACAAAGCAGAAACATTTTACTAACAACCACATCACAACAACAAAGTGGGATATATATATATATATATATATATAATCAGAAGGATTTTGTTGTACATGTTCGGTAGGTGTATGAAAGTTCTTGTAAACTCTAAATAATCTCTAAATTTCCAATCAGTTTCCTTTTTTTCTATGAAATCAAGAGAATTTTTTATTTTTCGTGATCGTAATATATAGTGTTGTAATGGAAATAATGTGTAGACTAGACTGGTGAGAAAGCAGAATTACTATTATGTTGCTCGTAACTGCTACCAACACCGCATGAGGTTAAAGCGGTAAAGTTTAATTAAGCACTAGTACAAGATAGGTAAATTACAGCAGTGAGGTAGATAGGTAAGTAGGAAGTTAAGGTTGATGGCTTTGGGCACCAATTTCGGGACGGGGCAAGGAGATGAAGGCATCCATATTTAATTTCAAACAACGACTAATTTAAAACACAAAGTGTACTACTGCATATAACGGGCATACCCCGAAAGACGTTTTTATTAGAATCCCGCAAAAGGCACACTTATTTTGGGATGTATGTTGTTTTTCTGATTACGGAGAGAGGAATGATACTTATAATAATTTTTATTTGTTAAGTAATATAACACCAATTATTAAATAAAGTCACTTCGGCAATTAACTCTAACCCGGAGCGTTCCGATAAAAACTTGCTGGACGAGCAAATAAAAAAGGATAGTAATCTCTTTACACGTATCAAAAGGCCGTACAAATCCTTGGGAAGTCACTCAATATTAGATAAACTTGTAGTAAGAGAAAAATGTTTATCACGGCGGGAATCACCAAGTATTGGAATGGTCGGCGGAGAATAAATTCTACCTTATATCCCAAAATAGCATTACCATATTCGCGATATAATAACACTCTATTCATGGGCGAAAACAGAAGTAGGTATTTGTTTGAGAGAAAACGCTTTATCTACATATTTATAGAACTTGGATGCGACAATAGATTGTTCAGACTGATTCACATTAGCAAATACGAAAAGTGCCTTAAATATTTTTTTGATATGCTGACGTGGTCATGATTGCTTCAGTGATTTATCATCAGCAATATCAAACAAAATAAAATTGATATCTGGAGTGCATGTACTGTTCTGATGAATTGGTTCCAAATGCTCTGGTAGCTTAATTTCTCACCTCTTATGTGGCATTTCTTATGCGTATAAAATTATGGTTGAGTCAAGAACGGACAACCAATTTTGTAACGCTACAAGAGATTTCAATGAGTTATATTCGCAATACTGCATTAAAATTATTTTGAGCACAGAAATGTGAAATAAACATTTAAATCACATTATTATTGAAGCAGAATCTAATTTCCTTGCGATATTTTATTAAAGCTTCGTTAAAATTATCAAATGACCACAATGTGTAGTTGCACCAACTTAACCATTCTTAAGTAATAGTAATGAAAAAAGACCTTTTTGATGAGGTTGGCGGGAGCGTCAAGAATTTATCTTGGCTCGAAGTAGCGAAGAATTTTACCACAAATCTTTGATCGGGATCTTTAAAAAGTTTATTAAATATTTAATTTATTTTACACTAAGAGCAATTCGATATTTCAAATGATCCCTACAGCAACATATCTGACATACTAAGTTCTTTTTTAATAAAATAAATATAATATAATAAAATATGATAAAAGAATTTACTATATTTTCCAGATTTTGATTTTTACGACGTATAATAAAAATTGTAAAATATTTTAGGGCTAAAGTGTTTCACAATATTATTATGAATAACATTTTATTTAAAAATCGTTTTTAGATTAAGAAAGCGCGACAGCTTTTTTTAAATTCAAGTAGGTCTCAATTTCGAGAGACAAGGCAGCAATTTGTAATTCCAAATAGGTTTTGTTAAATTCAACCGACAATTTTTATTGAATTTTTCCAATTTTAGAATAAGATATTGTACTTCTTTTTTTTTCTTTCTTTTTTTTTTTCTTTCTTTTTTCTTTTTTAAGCGTTTCACTCCAAGCAAGGCGGGAAGCCACAAGCACGCAAGGAGTTACAGAGAGTTGGAGCTAGAGCAAAGAGGAGTGATAGAGGAAAGGATGAAGAGAACGATAGTGGATAGATCAGGGCATCTGGAGACGTCGATTGACATTACATTTGAATAGTTGGAGATTATCGCTATCAGGGAAACAGGAAGAGGGGAGGGAGTTCCACAGGCGAGACATGAAGCTATTGGAGTAGAAGAGACGGCTACATTTAACAGTTTCGACAGTGAAAGGGTGTGAGCGAGATGCCAGCCGAGTAGAACGCTTAAATCCATGAAGTTTGGGAACCAGCGAAAGCAGCTTCTCAGAGCAGTTACCATGAAAGTATTTGTAAAAAAAAGACAGAGGGAGGCGACGGCACGTCTGTGAGAGAGCGACTGCAGACGAGATGCCAGATCAGGGCCAATTACGTTGCATATCCGTCTCTGGATCTTATCAAGAACCTTGAGACAAACAGAAGGAGAAGCAGACCATATATTCCATGCAAGGGCGAATGGTTGATTTGTAGATTTGAAGGTTCGACTCCGGCAAGAAAAATTATGTGAATCCATCCATCCATCCATACATACATCCATCCATACATACATACATCCATCCATACATACATACATACATATGTAATAAATTTGTGTATGTAATCCCGACAGAGTTATAAGTTACTGACATTTGGAAAATGAGAGTATGTTACGAAAATAATATCCGATAATGCATTTCGTCTATACGGCTTCCTGAAGAATGAAACGCGTCACTAGTAATCTTTTTCCACTTTGTCTTACACTTTCCCATATATATATATATATATATATATATGAAGAAAAATTTTGGAAAAAACAAACAAAAATCCTTAAATGCAATTATGTTGTTTAAAATGAATGAAATTTTAAACAACATAATTGCATTTAAGGATTTTTGTTTGTTTTTTCCAAATTTTTTTTCATTCTGTCGGATCTATATCCATTTACATTTGCTTACATATATATATATATATATATATATATATATATATATATATATATATATATATATATATATAGGGTTAATTCGTAACATATAAAGATATGAACCCCACCTTCAAAAAAAATAAATAAATAAAATAAAAAACAAAAGGTGGATTCACTCAGATAGGAACACTAACACATGAACAACAAACACAAGATCAACATTTGTAAATAAATTTTATATAACAAAATACAAAATGAAAAACTATAGGAAAATTTTGGAGTGACAGAGGTATAATTAATGAAAGAACACTTTACTGATATTGGATGTCAGTGCAAACGTTTGTGTTTCAGGAATTTGGAGTTTGAATGTTCGTAATGACAGCTATACAGATTAGCTGTAGAATGTTCACAAAACTTGGTTGTTCTTTCATCTACAATGTGAAATATAAGATTCCGGAATAATTTTTGTGTTCCTTAGTTACTTGTGTTGTCTCCGACATGAAAACAAGATATTTTCTTTGTATTTATTTGGGTACGATATTCCTTTATCCTAGATAAGAGTCTATTTTTCTTCGAGACGAAAGACAACAGCAAAAAGCGTCAGCAAATATTCCTCTTGCTATGTCCCAAGATCGTCCGATTTGGACAATATGTGCACTTGCTGAAGTGTCACATATAACACAAACATAGAAACTTAATGGGGTTGTTGGATCCTCATAAGTCGAAATCGATGGGAGAGTTAATAATATGCAGTGGCATGGATAAGCAGTTTGTAACGCCGAGTTAGCTCTATTACGGATATTGAGCACTTTCCACTAAATATCACGTATATATATATATATATATATATATATATATATATATATATATTCTTATTTACCTTTTCACTGACTAAAGCGAAAGTATTATCAACAAAGGTGTTCGGACGAGACTTTTTGATAAGCCTAGTTTCTAAGTCTGATTATGACAACGTTCTGTTTGAATCATGGCAATAAA